GAGAACAATCTAGGGCGGGCCGCCCTAGGCTGACCTCTTGGAACCTGCCCCTAAGACAGGCTGCCCCAGGGCGGGCCGCCCTAGGCCTGGCCCTAGGGCAGGCTGCCCTAGGATGAGCCGTTTTAGGCTGATTGAAAACAGTCTAGGGCGGGCCGCCCTAGGCTGACCTCTTGGAACCTGCCCCTAAGACAGGCTGCCCTAGGGCGGGCCGCCCTTAGGCTGAGTGAGGGGCCGCCATAGCCTGACTTCTTGGAACCTGGTCCTAAGGCAGGCTGCCCTAGGGCCACCCTAGGCTGATTGAGAACGGTTTAGGGCGGGCCGCCCTAGCCCAACACCTGGCGTGGAATCCTGGCCCGGAATGCTATTCCGGAATCTTACTCAGGCCGCGCCCGAAGCTGGTGGAGGTTGGCCTAGGGCCAGGTTACTTGGGTCTTCAAGGTCAAGCTGGGGCAATGTTCTTCAAGCTTCGTCTCGGGAGAAGAAGACGCTGCAGCTGAGGCGATGGAAACGAAGTGCTGGATATCCCGAAAAATGGCGAGCTGACATGATTCGCTCGATGATTTCAATTCAGGACTGCCCACAAATTTTGCGTCTTCTGTCCCCTGTATCTTCTGTGTTTTGTAAACCGTTCTATTTAGGCAGCCGACCGCTATTCAATATATATATATATATATGTATGTGTGTGTGTGCGTTAATAAATTGAAGAAATGCAGCTAGATAAATAAAACACAATTCAATAAGCAAAACATTTTTCAATTCATGATGAAGCATGCAAAGAGGGGGCACACTGTGTCTGTCGTTGCTGATGGTTGGTTGCTCAATGGTTGATTTATAGTTCATACAGTTTAGTTGTCGCTTTCTCGTAGTCTTCATTTCCATGCTTCCATATCACTCCTATTGTTCTAGCTTGGAATCATGTGGTGGTTCTGAACATCAAGTGGCTGTGTGATTGATTGATGATGCTTATCGTATCATCATGGTTGTGGTGACCCGGTGAGTAACTACAGGCGAGTGATGGTCATGGTATACGGCCCTTCCACAAGTGGCTGTATGTTTGCATGGTTAATGCTTCAATTGAAACTCAAGAAGGTCATGAGTCACGAATTGCCTGAACTATTTTAGGAGCCCTGGAGACATTACATCTTAAGTCTTGCAAGACTTGATTGGATGTAGGGCAACCTCAACCCCCAAAACATGGACCCAGTGACCCTGGCAAACCTCTGCCATGAGCGTTGTAGTAAGATGGACCAATGAACTGGCAGTAGTAGCGTGCTGGTTAAACTTCGAAATTAAGTCAAACTGTCAAACTGTCAATCTATGTTTGTACTCCTTTTAAAATATCACGCGCTGCAATTGTTTGTCGATTTATTGTCAAATCATCAGCTCACAAAGTTGAACATTCTGGTTGAATTTTGTTGTAGCCTTTGTGCATTTCCTGTGCCACTTGCACAACCCCTACTACTATTTCACTACCCCAGCCATGGTCACATCAGGGCAAGAGCCAAGCAGCGACATTGGCTCGAAAGTCAGAACGTACTGACTGCTGACCTTTCGTTCTGATGGTTTAGGTCATGTACCATCACTTGTTATTTGGATGTTCTTTGTTTTTGGGGGAAAACATGTGGTAACTTTAGCACCTGCATGGATCGCCCCCTGTTATGATATGATACCTGATGAAACTGCAATTTGCCAACGCTTGTTTTCTGAAGAAACATATGGTAGATTCAGCAAGTGAAAGGGCCTCCCAGTGTTATGGTATAATGCCTAATGGAACTGAAATTTGCCCCAAAAATTTCTGAACTGAAGAAACATGTTGTAAATTCAGCAAGTAAAGGGTCTCCCAGTGTTATGGTATAATGCCTGATGAAATTGAATTTTGTCCCCACGAAGTATTGAACGTCTCATCCAAACCATTTGATCATGGCCATAGATTACATTGGTTTTCATCACTTTTTAAAAATTCAAATTTACTTTTTATAAATTCAGTTTTACTTTTGGCTAGATCTCAACATGTAGGGGGTGCTTAAAGCTAAAGTTGGGCCACCTAAAACTAAATTCCGGCCACCCAAAACTAAATTCTGGCAAACATTTTGTATGTGTTTGATTTTTGGTTCGGGTTGATTGAAAACAAACCTTTGGCTGAGTGGAAACCAAGTTTAGGGCCAAAAATACAAGAAAAATGAGGCAAAATATTCCTTATAACAACTTTTTATTTTTTTGCATTTCAATTTTTGGCTGAACCATATGCTGTGTATGCCCATCAACCTATGAATCTACCATACCCCTAGTGCAGACAAAGGGTTGCCGCCCTAGTTCAACTGGAACGCCTTCAGAGGTGGTTATGGACATCCCTAGGTAAAAACCATGGTTTCCTGTAGATTTTCCCTTAAACCAATCCATTGAACTTCATAGTCTTTCACCCTGTGACAGTCACCATTTTGTGATCAATTTTTTCATAGTCATAGACATACTTGTGAAATTCAGGGTTTTTTGATTTTAGGAATATCACGTATGGGATTTTCAGTAGAAAGTAAACCCTAAAGTATAGGTATACCACCAACCAGATTAGATTTTAGAATTTTGGAATATCAGGTTTCATAGATTTCGTAGTCATTGGATATCATTGGATCATGGTATTTCATAGTAAATGATTCATGATAGATTTGATGGCCTGCAAGATGTTATGTTTACGTCATCCCGGATTAGTAACACTCTGGGCCGTTGATCCTTGGGGGAGTTCGCCATGTTTGTGAATGCTGCGTATTGCTGGATGAAGACATACAGTTATGGCCCTTTACCAGTTATAAGTACTTATAACCCCATTTATAGAATGTTTAATTCCATTTATAACCAGTGATAACTAATAAATGGCCTTAACTGTGGATGAAGACATACCCATACGCTGAATGGTGAAATGATCGGACAAAGATCTATATAAGGCCTTTCACACATCCTCTCAGTAGATCATGTGGTAAAGCCAATCATAAGCCACCCCCAAATGGCCAAATGGTAGATTGATTCTTAGCTTTCCCACAGAAAAATCCCGGTTCAAAGAACTGAACCTTTTAAGTGGCAGTGGCCAAAAAAAATGAAGGAATAGGCCGAACTTTATTGTGATGTCTGGCGTACAAACATTGTGACCACTGGCAAGTTACAATGATTTCATGGGGACTACAGTCATCATGAGAATTTTGCCATGAACCAAACCCACCCCCTCAGTGCACTTTGGGAAGCCTTTTGATTTTGAATGATTTTCGTTTGTTCACCTTGAGCAGTATGCATTTTTTTCAACAATCATTCTGTACTCCTGTTGTAGGCCGAGTCCCACAGCTATGGCCCGAAATACCAGTTATAAGTACTAACAAGTCACCCCATTTATAGAATGTATAATTCCATTTAACCATTTATAACCAGTTATAACTAATAGCCATGGCCTTAGCTGCATCCCCACAATATTCGTCCCATCCCCATTCTATGGTCCCAGTCATATGTGGTTGACTCTGGGGGGTCTTTACGGTTGGGGGATGGGATTCGTGATCACTATGCATCACTAATGAAAAAAACCTAAGCCAACTTTATATACCTTTATATATGATTAGTAATAAATATCAACCCAATACCTACTTATAAATGAGATATCACTATAGGTGAATATCACTATAAATGAAAAAAAACTGGTCTTTGGACCTCACCAACTTTCAGCAACATGTAACATTCACCTGCGGCCTCTGCAGATGGGCCATTAGGGCTCAAGTCAGCCATTTTTTCATCGTGATTTTCGTGCAATACAGTACATGGAGATACCCTCTTCGAGTCTGGACGAGGCTTCGAAAAACCGGTTCTGCGGATCCAAATGGAATGGCCACCCCGGACGTCATGCAGCCTACCCGGCCTGGTAAACGTTTACATAGCGAACTGGAAAATCACAATTGTTAATGGGTAAATCAACTATTTCTATGGCCATTTTCAATAGCTATGTTTGTTTACCAGAGGGTAGTATGTATATATATATATATATAGATAAAGATCACTATGTGAACCGAAATGGACTACACTGTACCACAGATGACAAGAAATGGTACCGCACACACACACGTTGAAACACACTATGTAGGATGTTCTGAATCTTGCAAACACACACACATTTCTGGGGTTCGTAGATGTTCAAGTACCTCGCACCTGGGTAAGTAGGTCAGCCTGATCGTATTTCTTTTAAGCCATGAATGGAGTTTGTATGACCACATTATACCACATGTTTTGGGATGGTCATCACCCATACGGGTTTCAAATTATATATTTTTTTTATGTACAGTAAGGAAGCCCAAGAGCGAGTGGCAAGATGATGAGACCTCCCTCCCAGAGTTGATTATATATTGGGTGGTCTCGCAAATTCTCGGGCTTCTTCCTCCCAACAAACAGGGATTACCATCTGGTTATGACTAACATAGCCATGGACAATCCATAAATGGAGGTATCTAGCTGGGAAAATCATCTATAAATGGGCCATGTTCCATGGCTATGTTAAATAACCAGAGGGTAATTAAGACCAATATATAATTGAGGTTTTCATAAGACCAATCATCATAATGGAGTGTAGCAATCTGCGGTGAATTATAACGCCTTCGCCACCACGTCACTGTACACTGTAGAATGATAAGTATGGAAAACCATCCAAAACATTCCAAAACTTACCTTACTTCTGAGATTTTGAGATTCTGCTTGTTGAATCTCTACGATTCAGCCGGAAAAGTGTGTTCCTATAAAAGTGCCGCCAATTGATGGTTTAAAAAGACATCCTCAGGATCCCAATCTGACAGTGTAGCCAGGGCCTCAGCCATAGGGTTCTTGACTGTGGGCCCGAGTTATGCTTGCTTTAAAACCCACGAAAACCATAGTTATAAAACATGCTTATAACTATCATAAACCATAGTGAAATTGGATGTATGTTCATGAACTTAGCGATTTCGTCGGCCCCCCCAATTTGTGAAGCGCCAGGTGTGATGCGACCTGGGAGGTGTCTTGGTCCAGAATCTGTTTAGGTAATCTGGATACTCGAAACCTTTGGGTAGTGGCTACAGTTATGGCCCGAAATATCAGTTATAAATCACTTACAACCTCATTTATGGAATAGAAATCACATTGAAATCACCAGCTATTTCACCATTTCTAATTGCTATGTCCGGCCATAACTGTAGTGACCAATCCCAAAATCACACATTCGGGGATTGGTCAAGTTGCCTCTGAAATGACTATGGGGGAATGAAGATCCACTAATTAGCTACAGTTTCAAGGCCCGAGTTTTACCAGTTATAAGTACTAAGAAAATTTAACTCCATAGACATAGAATGTATACTGTATTCCCATAGAAATCACAAGTTATTTCACTAATAGCCATGTCCAAAAAACTGTATCTTAAGGTACTGTAGCTAGATGTACCTAGTGTCCTAGGGTTTTGGCTTGCGGTTCTGGGTGGTGACGTGAGATTATGTTTATTACGATTCCGGGTGGTGACGTGAGATTATGTTTATTGCTGACCCGCAGAAAGTTTTGATCAAGAGAAGTTGTTCAACACAAGCCTCAGACGGGAAGAAAGCGGTGAGAGCCATGAAGACATGCAAACGTGCCATGAAATGCAGCACTAAGAGCCAGCGCAAGGGCAAGGCGCAGTTGCCAAAAAGCTTGCAGGCACCGCGCACTGACCAAGCCCCGATGAAGGAAGTGAGCGCTCAGCAGCTCAAGAAGGCCCAGAAGCAAAGAGAAGAAGGCTGCCTTGAAAAAGGCATTACGCGTGTTGAACCATGCAGTTGTGGCCCGAAATACCAGTTATAAATCTTATAACCCCATTTACAGAATGTATAATTCCATTTATAACCAGTGATAACTAATAAATGGCCTTAACTGTGTGAATGCTGCGTATTGCTGGATGAAGACATACCCATACGCTGAATGTTGAAATGATCTGGACAAAGATGAATCAATGAAGCAGCGAAGCACTGAATCAAAGAATCAATGTAATACTGCTATGGGATAACCCCACAATTTCCGACTTGCGAAATGGGTTATTTATTAATCGCTTGGAAAAAAAAGCAAATCCAAGATTCCAAAAAAATGCACCCCCCAAACGAAAGCCTAGTTTTTTGTATTGTGTTTGTTCATTTTTGCGGCAGCATGGACATGGCAAATTGGCAAATCCTCAGCACTGCTGTGCCCTTTTGTTTTTTTTTCAGATACACGGATATAAGAATTTCCCATTGCTATCTATATAATTCTATATCGATATATTATGTAATTATATGTCAACTTCCCAGACTGAGGTACGAGTACTAACTCACAAACAAGTACCTGGCAATGCCCTGTAGGGTAGGATGTGATACCACATGCCAAGGTTAGGGGGATGTCCTAACGATTGTCCCATATCATCGTCCAAAAAAGACTCGCTGAAGGTTACACATTGGTGTTTGTGAAAGTTTGCGTTTGTTTGCTGTATACCCATGCAGGCTGGTGCCCCCTGGTAAGTTAGTATAGTTACAATATGTTACAATCACTATAAGCCGTACTTAAGCAGCTAGTTGCAATCCAACTTAGCTATCAACCTGGGGCACCAACCTGTGCCTCTTCAAATCATTTGATGGTCGCTTCTGCCGTAATATATACCCAGATAGCAGCATGGTCATCAAGGGATTTATATAACCATTATAACCATGTTTTGAATCACGGTTCATTGTGGGGTGACCATCAGGCATTCTATATTCCATGCGTATCCTGTCACGCAATGATATTGCATCTAAACTTTCCAGTACATCCCAGTATGAGGTAGTATATCTCACTACATAGCCCATCATATCTCAGTATATATATATATACATGATTATATATATACACATTTCCCAAAGTAAGACCGTATATAAGCGTAAAACATGATTCATCATGGTCCCAGCATGGCCCCATAAGTTGAATAAATTTGACATAAATACTGTTTTAATATCAATTAACATACCATTAGTATTGATATCTATTCGAAAAGTATTGATATTAAATATGTCCTTTAGTATTCATTTTCTTTATGTCATTGTTATATACCAATACTTATTGTTTATACAGTGTTTTCAAAACATTTACCACCTGGTTATTTAACATAGCCAAGGAAAATCACCATTTTTGATAGGTAAACCACCTATAAACCGGCCATCTTTACCATGGCTATGTTGAATAACCAGAGGGTAGTATTTTGAATATGAGGTAACCAGTATTGATAGACCAATTGATGACATTCCCATGACGTTCCCATGGTTTGACCTCAGGAGATGTCGCCTGCTCCTTCTGTGCTTTCTGCAGCCCGGCCGGAAAAACTTTCAGCGGCTGACACGGAGGGCTCAGTGGGCTGTAACGATATTGAATCAGCGATGAAATCAGCTAAAGTTGGCGGAAAATAGTGGTTTTACAATGTTTTTCTGGTTGGTGGTTTGGAACCATGGAGTTTTATGACTTTCCATTCGCTTTCATATTTTTAAGAGGGGTAGGTCAACCACCAACCAGTTTTGTTTTGCATTTTGGAATCCGTATAAAACAAGCTGTGTTCACTGTTCACCAACACTGGTGATTTGACCAAACAGCCATTTGGATATAGATGGGTACACTTAAGGCTTGGAAGCAGACCATGGGTAAAAAGAATCCAGAGGACCCGAGACTCTGATTGGTTAGGTATGTCTCGGGAAAGATTGTACCCAACACATTCATTATAGATAGGAATTTGTCATGCGATTCATCAACATCATCAACATGGGTTGTTTGGGTGATGGTGAGTCTGTCAGGAATTATGATATGTTTGATGGAATAAAAAGCAATAATATGTTTGATAATTTGAGCTATAATAGGACAACACTATCAATGTAACTGATGAACTGCCAAACCGATGAAATGATGGTATCATCCACAATGAGGATATAGCGGGAATATCGTGAGGTATACTTGGATCGATTTCTGTTGGACCTGATTGTGACGTCATGACGGTAAATAAAAATGGTGAATGATGGGAATTACTCTCCCTTAAACTAACATAGATGTGGAAGAGTGGAAATCCCACTATTGGTAGATCATTTTCCTAGGGAAACCATTGGTTTTCCGCGTCTATATCAGTTTACACTAGGGTCTTAGGGTATGATTAAAAAACAAAACTCATTTTTTAAAAGTTGGTGAATGAATGATTCAGATGATCTTTCTTTCATGCTAGGTGCGGTGGCGCCGTGGAAGCTGAAACTTCGGCCAGGTGGATCTTGGGACAGTCATGACTCTTTGCCGGCTATGAGTCAGGTATAATGGGATAACCTCATTGATGGAATAACCAGTTATGCCTGACGATGTTAACCATTTATAGGCAGTTATAACGGTTAACTATATTTTACTATTCCATAAAAGGTTAGTACCAGCTACAACATATGTTAACCATTTATAACAAGTTATAGTCAGGTATAAACTCATTTATGGAATAGTAACCATATAGTTAACATATGTTACCCTCTGGCTATTTAACATAGCCATGGGAAATGGCCCATTTATAGAGGTTTACCCATTACATAATAGCATGGTGATTTTCCATGGCTATGTTAAAGAACCAGATGGTAACCATTTATAACCAGTTATAGCTGGTACTAACTGTAATTGTCTATTCGAGCAGCGTTGGTTGATGATTATTCTGTAGGTGGTTATACTGACCAGTACTGAGGATTTATACATGTTTATACAATGTGGTACCCCCCAGTTATAAGTTGGTTTATAAACCATTATAACCCCCAATAACTAGTCTAGTTCGTTATATCTATCATAAACCATAGAATTCAGCCACTTATATGGCAACTGAACACTATCCAACGGGGGCCCCATCCTGTACTCAAACTGCTCTGGATTGGGTGTCTGAAAAAAACGACATTCCAATCCAAAAACCGTGGGGAAACCCCTATCCATAATGGGAAACACAACAGTATCTCATGTGTATCATGGCGTTGTACTTTGGCTGATATACAATGTGGTGCCCCAGTTCGTTAGCTAAGTTGGTTTATAACTCCAATAACTATGACTTATGGTAGATATTGGTAGATATATCTATAGTTGATGGGGTTATAAACCAACAAACATCACTGGGGGGGGCACCACCTTGTTTAAACAATGAGGTTTTAATGTGTTTTTATGGGATTCTCACGGGAATGTCATGGGACTATGGGTGGAAAAGCAGCATGTTGCAATGTTGGATTTAACATTATCGTGCTAGCCAAAATGAGGGTGTAACCTGAACGTCTTGTAAATTTACGAACAACTGTGATGATTTCTATATTCGATATGATCACATGCAAATGACATGAACATGTTTCGATCAACAGAAACGGACATTGAACCTAGCTGTAAATCAGCTCGGGCGACGATCTTGGGCAGCACAAATTGTATTGTTCTTTTTGTGGAATGAGGGCGTTGATGACGGAGTAGAAGGCTACGATAAAAATCCCGGACAGGAGGAGTGGAGTGTATGCCGCCCTGCGCTCCACAACGAGAGCTGCAGAGTCTCTCGTGAGCTAGCAGCACCGCTTTGCACGCTCAACTGGTTGTCTTTTCGAACAAAACCTGGTCTCCTTCGCCGGTTGGGCGATGAGGAGAAGGCAGATTCCTGGAATTTAGATGGCATTGGGTAGGCTCAATTCTTTTGCTCTTGGAAGGCAACAAAAATATCAATGATTTGGGCCATTGCCAGCGCCACAATCTTGCAACCTTAGGGTTCCCTGGGCGCCCATTTGATCCTTGTCTTCGTGCCGTTGCAGTAGAAAACCTATCCAGTGGTTTGGAGGGGGTTAAAGAGCCACAGTTACGGCACTTTACCAGTAATAAGTAAGTTCTACATATTATAACCACATTTATGTAATAGTACTTTAAACACATTTATAAACAGTTATAACCAGGTGTAATTGGTATTTTGGGCCTTATCATGTTGCCATTCCGGACCTGTTAGTAGCTCCTTGGCTCCCCATTCAAAACAGTTGTTTGGCCCGAAATGACAGTTATAACTCGTTATAAACGGGTATAACATGTGGTTGCTATTCCACTTAAATGGGGTGATAATAAGTGACTAATAATCTGGTATTTCAGGCCACAACAAAAAAAGGCTTTCCCCGGGCCTTTAGACGTGTTGGCTGGTCGCAGCAATTTTGGGGCCAGTTGTTCCAAGTTCCATTTCTGGTCAGATCTCAATCTGAAATCATTGGTTTTTATGCTGAGATCTCCCGGTGTGAAAGCGGTCGTTTAGGCCACTGTTTTTCGTTGTCAGATTTCACCCAATTGTTGAAGATGTGTCATGCGATAAAAAACACCTTTTCTGCTGGATCCGAACTCTTGAATCTTGAACTCTTAGATCTCAAATATTGATTGTTAAATCTGATTGATCATTATTTTTGGTGAAATATGATTAATGTTGGCTGCCTAATAGTAATTCCCCCCCTATTTTTATTTTTTTTGGGGGTCAACTTTCCTATAATAATTTTTGGGAATCTATAGCTGGGATCATGATATGTATCTGATAGATTCTCCATGGTTTTGTTGGGTTTCTGTTAGATTCTGCATAGGGTTTGGTTGGATTTCTGAGATGTTCTGCAAAGGTTCTGCAAGGATTAGGGTTGGTTTCTGTTAGATTCTGTATGGATTTTTGGAACCTTATAGCGGAAGTGGACATGGAAGTGGGGGCAGAGGTGGTGGAGGCGAAGGAGGAGGACGAGGAGGAGGAGAAGAAGGAGAAGGAGAAGGAGAAGGAGAAGGAGGACAACAAAATTGGAGTTGCGGACTATTGCCATGCCTGGTGCAGGTTTGTTATTGCTATTCTGGGTCTTGCAAAGGGGGTACCCTTTGTGGACCTGTTTTTTTGCTTTTTTAAATAATGGTTTTATAAGGAAATCAGCTGTTTGGTAATTGGATCAGATTTCTGGAATCTAAGCTTTTGCTAATCAAAAGTGAAGGCTGCTTTGAAAAGGATTTGCTTTACTTGACTCTTTTGGCAATACTAAAAGTAAATGGAGCTAATTGACTTTTAGTATTGGAGAAAAAATCGGAGTTGCGGAAAAATGTTTCTACTATTGACAAGATATCACTATTGGCTAGACAACATTAATCCATATTGATATTTTTTCTGGCTGCTTTCGATATGGTCAATTCATAAATATATTGGTTGGTGGTTTGGAATATTTTTATTTGTTTCGTATATTGGGAATGTCATCATCCCAACTGACTTTCATATTTTTCATAGGGGTAGGTATACCACCAACCAGATACAGGATGGGGCCCCCCAGTTATAAGTTGGTTTACAAACCATTAGAATCCCCATTAACTAGTTCGTTATATCTACCATAAAGCACAGTTTATTCAGCCACTTTTCTAAACCAACTGAACGCTATCGACTGGGGCCCCATCCTGTATCAATTCATCAATTTTGTTCTTGGTCAGTTCCCTAGATTCTCCACTTTTCTTGTCGATGTCAGGCATCGAGAGGCTGGGATGTCCCTGGTTAGACGGCATCGAAGGCCGGGACCGTTGATTTTTGGGAACGCTTAAGGATGATGAAAATGATTGGTTGGTGGTTTGGAACATGACTTGGAACATGACTTCCCCAATAGTTGGGAATAGAAAATCATCCAATCTGACGAACTCCATCATTTTTCAGAGGGTGTCAGGTTGGGTGGGAGGATGATCCAATCTGACTAATTTCATATTTTTCAGAGGGGTTGAAAAGTATACCACCAACCAGATGATGCTGAATTGTGATTTTTAATGACATAAACCATCAGCAATGGGGATCTCATATGCCAACTTTTTGACAAATTTGACCGACTTTGGGAATCCCATCCCCCGTTCATGTATTAAAACAGCCCAGTCTGTGAATGGTCCCAATTGTGTGGAAATCCCCTACTTCTCGGTTTCTGGGGTGTTTTTCATATTAGGGAGATGGGATGAACCTTGAAGCTTCCCAAGAATGATTTGGGGTACCCCAAATCATTCAAATTTGGCAATTTTAGTATTGAAAGCCATGGTACCCTCTGGGACTGGAAAATCACCATTTTTAATGGGTAAATCCACTATAAATGGTCATTTTCAATAGCTACGTTAGTTTACCAGAGGGTAACTTGAATATCCCCAATTTTATGAAACCATTAGTTGGCAGTGCAGTAGAGGTGATCAAAATTAGTAGACCCTTCTGGTAATTTAACATAGTCATGGAGAATTAATCACCATTTTTAGAAAGTAAATCATCTAGAAAATATCATTTTCCATATCTATGTGAATTTACTGGAGAAAACCCAGAAATTTTATTTAAACATTTTCCCAACAAAACCTATCCATTAAATCACCATAGACCCATTTAGGCTGGTGAAATACCCAGTTTGGTGGGTAAGATCTATTTTTTGGGTGAAATCCCCTGAATGTTGGTGGCCACGCACCCCCTGTCCCTGTGTAGGATGTGGGGCCGTGGTGAGATGTTGGCCAACGTGCTGAGTGCCGATGGAGTGTGGAAGAGTCTAGCGACCTGGGCTTGGCTCTTGATCGACGGGGTATTCGTCGGTAACTGCTTTGTGGTTTCAATGACTATTTCGAATTGGCCCGAAGTACCACTTACAACTGGTGATTTCTATGGTGAAAATAGTGTCATTATGGAAATATAGTATGGAAATATGGAAATATGGTTTCCCTGGATTGATTTAATTATAACTTGATAAACTCGACATTGGAAATCCACTAGCACTGGAAAATCAGTGATGTTTGTTCTCAGTTTTTGAAGGTTCCTCAAGCAAGCAAACCCAAGTTTACACTTTGACCCTGCGAATTGCTATTTTGTCTAAAGTTATGGCCCGAAATACCAGTTATCAGTCCCATATATATATATATATAATTTTACATATTTCCATTATATCCCATTAAATATCCCATTAAATCCCAATAAAACACTATATTTCCATATATATATATGTTTCCATCATACAGTTCCATACTTGGGCCAACTTGGGCAATTGAAACTTCATTTTCCAAGGCGAGTTACTTCGACGACGTTACCACGACCACCGCCACCGCGGACCTGGGCGATGCAACGACCACGATGCTGGGAATGCAATCGTGCCTGATGGTTGATGTTTTTTTTTTCGTGGGTTGATTATATGTGGTACGATTATATACCAATTTTACCAATTATATACCCATTATATACCCATTATAATATGCTGGGAACGCAAGCGGCCAACCGGCTTGTTAGATTCATATGTTCATTCGTGGGGATGTGGTTTAACATGCTTCAACAATCTAACATGGGGATATAATGGGTATATAGTCGATAATGAGTGGTGGCTAGATACTACCTCATTATGGGTTATCAATAATAATATACTAATAATTGCTCTGCTAAAATTTCAAAATAATAACAGGTGGTTACCTAATAATATACCAATAATAATTTACCAATAATTAATAATAATAGTTAATTAGTACTAATACCAATAGTAATTTATATATATATATACACCCATAATAATAATCTAGTACGTCTTCGTCTCTTGCTATGCTAAAATCAAACATACCCGTCGCTTAAAAAATCCATGGCAGGTACCTCAGATTCACCATGGATCCGGGCGACCAGACATCGGTGGTACGCCTTAACAAACAGATAAACGGGGAGTAACAAAAACAAAATAAAACACTGCGGCATGAGATAAGAACTTAGTCTTTTCACATCTAAATAAGTGGGGATATGTATTGCCATGCCGTATACAAGTGGTCAAAATAATGTAGTGTATATATATATGTAGATTATGGCCCCTACCAGCGTACTAACTAAGATGTACTCTATGGTTATTTCCCATAGCCCTGGAAAATTGTCCATGCATATGGTTTTTTGAAATTGATAACGTACCTTTGAAAATTGAGTTTATCCATAGCTACGCTTCGTATACAACCAAACGATACCCCAAGTAGATAACTATTGGTCTAACAGGACTGCTGTGCAGGCAGCTGTGCGGCTTGGATGATTTAACAAATTCCGATGGCCGATGACTCAGTTCTAGCGTGTGTGAAACTGTGTATTCATGTAATCATCCTGGTTAGTAGATAGAAATTCAGTGTATTCGATGTTAGCAATTATACTTGAAATGTCCATATTCATCTACTCGAGGATGATTACACATATACATACAAATACATGTGCTATATATATATACTCGCATATATGTATTATCCAGCCAACAAAAACAGAGATTCGGCAAAACAATAGAAAGCTCAATGTCACACCAAACTAGTAACATATGAGCCTAACTTAAAACAGAACTTAATCTTCCTAACACCTTTGAAGGTTTGCTACAGATGCCTTCACCACTCTCCAATGTTGAGTACTACAAAGTGAGGCCCCCAAACGATAGTTAAATTGGTTTATGCATTTAAAACTACATTATCTATGATTTATGCTGCTTTTAGCTACAATACAGTGTTTACGGGTTTTGTTTATTAAGTAATTTCACAGTTAATGGATTTGACATAAACAAACTTATACCTGCAGTTAAGGCCCTTTTTCCACTTATAAGTCACTAAGTCGCCACAATTATGGACTAGTAACCACATTTATATTTAGGTTCAACCATTTATAGTGGTGCCCCATAGATATTTAAGTTGGTTTATAACTACAATAAGTAGGACTTTTGGTAGATATATCGAACTAGTTGATGGGGGTTATAAACTAACTTATAACTGGGTGGTACCACATTGTAACTGCTGTTTCGTGCCTTGACTCTGGGTCTTTCCATAAGGACAGAGGCAACGAGCACCACAGATACCACGGAAACGAGCAGCGCCACCAGCGCAACCAGCGAGACCAGCGCAACCAGCGCGACCAGCGCAACCAGCGCGACCAGCGCCCTGGCCTTGAGGTCTACCTATCAAATATGTGTTTCAAAAGTATTAAAAATCATTGAATCATTTATATATATATATATGTATTATATAAATATTACATGTATATCATATCTAAATCATCCAAACATATGCCAGTTGTTCATTTGATGAACCATTTGGTGCCATTTGATTTGTCATTTGTACTAAAGTAACAGTATTGTAATATGGTAATATGAACCATCCATAATTTTGAATCAGTCATTTATCATTTGATCATTGCCATCTTTGATGAGAGGAACCAAGAAGCAAACATGGACTGAGTATCCAAGTATGGCTACACTGGGATAGGTTCCTAGCTGAATGCCCAGTCCTTATGCGGAAATATCATACCAGTGGGATATGTTCATTTTGTCCGGTTATCTAAGATTTACTGCAAAAACAGAATGGTTCGCCCTAAGGTATTTGGGTGTATTTGGTCTAGTGATTTTTTTAAATTCTCACTGTCAGCGTAGGTGTAATGACCTCACTTGCCAATTGTTGATCTATCCAGCAAAGATCGTATTGGACTGATCGAATTAAGAACAAATTCAAGTGTTAGAATACAAAGTATCCCAATTTCTCAAAGTTAGAATATCCCCAAATTCAAGTGTTTAGTTCTGCTTTGGGGTGTTTATTCTAACTCTTTATCAGAGCTAATTCCAAGTGGCGAATAATTATTCAACAGCACGCAGGTGTACGGTGGATGCACGGGATATTACATTGCCATGGGATGGAGGTTTTTTTGACATCTTCTAACATGGTCTCATTTTATTTTCATGACAATACCATTAAATATATATATATATATTCTAACATAATTCATTTACCATGTTATCCCATTATATATATGTGAGAATCCCATTTTTATTTCTTTGCCCCTCACTTTTCGGCATTTGAACTGTTGCTTAAGAAAGACTCCTACAAGAAAGTGAGGGTACTCTTTTGGCCACTTTGGGCAATCATGAGCACAGGCGGTCTTGTTTCATGTCAAGACTGGACTTGTCAAACAGGACCCACAGTTAAGGCCATGGCTATTAGTTATAACTGGTGATTTCAATGGGATAAGGAGCATTCTATAAATGGGGCTTTGTTAGTACTTATAACTGGTATTTCGGGCTATAACTGCAGTGCCCCAAGAGTGCAAAACCGAAGCTCCGAAATCCGGAGGAAACAGCGCTGCAAGATCTGAAGTTGCACCCCACCTCAGGCACGTTCGTCCTGTGACCCCGGAACGTAAACAACCCGTTGAACAGACGCAGGTACCAGCTGAAGGTACTAAGAGAAGAAAACAGTACAAGCTTCTCTACTACAACCAGAAGCCTTCAGAGAAGCGTTCGGCTGCCAACTGGCCTGCACTAGTTAGTTCCGTCAGCGTGCAGTTCTGGCAGGGGCAGGTCCCCCATTCAGTGGTGCCGCAGCTGTCGAGGGACGATCTGTCGACTTTCCAAGGCTGCAGTATTGAAGAGGACCTCCCATTGGTAGTTGAGCCTCCTGCCAACTGGGATGATGCCCGAGCAATGACGTTGCAGTGTCTTGCCTGCACGGGCAAAAAGGCGCATCAAGCATCATCAAGCCATGTTACGGGATCTCTAAGCCAAGCCTTGCATATGGCAGCGGCTGTCCCGAAAACTGCCAAGGGCTGGCGACATGCTCATCCACACGGGAAGCTGAGCCACCGGAAATCTACAGACTTCGCTTGGAGAAGTTCCACTGTTTGTATGGGCCCTTCCAAATGTTCTTTGTCCGACACTTCAGCAACTTCGACTCGGATCTGCAGGGCGGATGGGACAAGGAAACAACGCCATCGAGCGGTGCCACTTCTTCAGGTCAGATATTTAAGCCCTGATGGTTTGGCATCCAGGTCTTAGGGGAATAAACATCCACTAACCAGCTATCTTATAGGGTACCATCCGGGTAGGTTTTCACGGATAAATCATGGATCACTGCCACCAAGGTGTGACCATGACCACGATGCTGGGAATGCAATGGACAGTGTCCCTGTTTCGATGACCATGGGTGGGATGGACGTGTTATGAGGTACCCCTAGACATAATATTCATGGTATTCGTGTATGTTACTTGGGTGTATGATGGGTGTTTCAATCTGAAAATCAACATAGAATATCAGGGTGATCTGGTACGATATCATGTTAGTTTGTGGGTCAATTAGTAATTAGACTAGGGAACATGTTAGTTGGGTCAATTATCGATAATCAAACGCAGCGATTGGAAAAATACCCTTTAGAAATCCTTTAGATGGCTGGTTGGTGGTTTGGAACATGTTTTATTTTCCATAATATATGGGATAATCCTTCCCATTGACTAATATTTTTCAAGATTGTTAAAACCACCAGCCAGTGATGTTTCAATGGGAAAATCAACTACACAAATTGTGCATTGCCGCGTTTGATTTTGTCGGATGTTAACCATTTGGGGATACTATCTAAGAATGGATGTAAACAAAACAAACATGTTTTTCCATATATCAATGTGTATAATATATCAATGTATCTAAGTTTGTTTATTAACCCACCTAACTATAGTTTTTTCCATCACCATAAACCCTATAGCTGCCTAGTTGTTTCCACCAACTTGGCTAACTATTTCGCACCTTTTTCTCGGCCCGTTCACATATTGGCGTAAGAGAAATTCTACAAAGCCCATGCTAATTCTCGCTCAGGATTTTCCAATTGTAAATCCAGTTTGGGGTGCCCCTCTATTTATGGAACCCACCATATATGATCATATTATCCTTCAATAATGGCGGGTTGATGGTTGGTCGGAAGATCATCCCAGTGAGTAAGGGGTGATTTTTTCACATCGTGAAGGCACCCCTGACCGTCGTCCCTAATGTTTGTATATTTAATATACAAACATTTTTCCAGGAGGCTGTGAGCTATAGGAGGTCTAGCATTCGGATGGATTTGGATGGAATATGTGGACCTGGGCCGAGAAGTGCATGATGAACCGTCTTGCATTGGAAACCACGGCTTCGGTCATGCTTGCACCCGTGCTTCAACGCAGTTGTTTACATCGTTTACGCGTGCGCCGTGTCAGGTTTTCGATCGAGCGCCACTCAACCTGCCAGGCGTGTGTGGCGCGCACGCCAAGGAGAAGCGATTCCGCATTCCACGTTCGTGCATGATGCCTCTTGATGCTAGGTCTGGGGACTTGAAAACCCTGGTCCTAGGGTACCTACCTACCTAAATACCGACCTACCTACCTACATACATGCTATCATGCTTTATTGCATTTCTATGCATTTTTACTGCACACATTATTCTTGAATTTATACAAATGTACACATATATTGTATTTGCTCTCCAACATACATACCAGCAGACAGATAGCCAGGCAAACGGACATGCGCAGTTGCATACCTACGTACCCATGTGAGGATCCGGAAGTGGATTCAGTATAGGCCATTGACCCTGCAAAAATTTATGATTCAGTTTATGTTTGAGCCTACTTTTAATAAACATATACGCAAATAATGTTCACATAGGTATGCACCCTAACTCTCAAATCTACCCGCTCACTCCTTTTGTTCCTCTCAAATTGAGTACTTGGAAGGTCAGGGTCATCCAAGGAAACTATATAGTAAGTTTAAATATACATATATATATATACAGATACACATATCTTGTCTACAAACAACATCTTCAAACTATACACTATGTATGTATATATATATCAAATGACACATGCATACTATGACTTGATATTGTGCTGAGGACAACCAGCACAGAGACGACGACGACGACGACGACGGAGACGGAGACGACGGCGCCGAGCACCACCTTGGACGAAGGCGACGAAGGCTGTGCAGCCCGGCATCCCGTGGACAGCAGGATGTTTTTTGTTGAGGAACATTCCGTGGAAAAGGGAAAATCTAGGGGAAAATCAAAAGTTGGGGAGATTTTATGGAGCTACTTCCTGAACAATTGGCATTTTGCCATGAAAAATTGGCATTTCACCATGACCAATTGGTATTTCACCATGGAGAATTTGCATTTAACTGTCAACACTTGGTGTTTAATCATCAAAAAATGTTTTTAACATTTTTGTTTAACCGTCAAAAGAAGTATTTAACCATCAAACATCATCAAACATGTATCATTTACCTCAATTAATACAAGGTGAGGCCACCGTTTACGATAGCCAAAGTTTTGGGGAATATGACTATAGTTAAATGGGTTTATAAACCAATTTTTAACTGGGGGGAACCACTTTATTTCACCAAATTGGAATTTACCAAGAAAAATGGTGGTATGCTGAAATGTAAGCCTGACATTGGAATTTACCCGGGCTTAAAGGGGAAAAATGATATGATATTCTGGTATATTGTACATTTTGGATGTTGTAAACTTCGCCTTATAAAGAGAGATACTTCATGGCTTTGTAAATGTTGGGGTTATTACATAGTAGTGGTGCCCCATAGATAGCTATAAGTTTAAGTTCGAGATAACGTGTGGTAAACGCACGCACATAAACACGTACGCTGCATACCTGATGTTTGCCCGCCCTAGGGTATGTATTTCTATCAACGTGAAATAACATATGAAAGTATATGTTTTTGTCAAATGCCATTCAATACATTGTTCACTGTTCAGAGGGGGTGGGCAAACGTCGTTGGAGCCACTAAAAAAATGGGATCGAGGAACCCATGATCATCATGGGTTACATGTTAAAGGTTGCGCCTATAATGTGCCGCGTGTTCGTGTACTTTTGACTCCTGCTTTTATATATTGCTTACATATTTTTTCTGTTCCTACGTCATAGACACGTGGTGGGGTTGGTTGGGGGTGGATGGGTTGGGGTAAAAGCGTGTTTGATGCTACGTCACCAGAACTTCTCTAGAGTTTATGCTACGATGTGATATGTTTTCCTGGCCTTCTTATATAACCCTATCGGTCCAAGTCCTGGCTAAACTAGGCCTTTGCTAAAGGCCTGGTTAAACCAGGCCTTTAGGACTGAGGGTTTCTATTTTTTTCTCTATGTAACTATTATTGGGGGGCGTATTTTTTGAGACTTAGCTGAGCAAGGGCCCACCCCCCAAAAGATACCCCATGCTTCAAAATCGAGGGCGCGTTCGAGATTTGCGAAAATAGCGACAGCGACACCGTGAAAAAAACGTGAAAAGGCTATGAGAAAGCAGTTTATAAACCCCGTAAAAAGGCCGTGAAAAACTCGCAAAAAGGAAAAAAATGATAAACATGAAATTTTACATGTTTTTTGCATGTTTTGCAATTTTGAGACAACATTTTCTCATGAGAGCTCCCGCTGTATGTGGCTGCCGCTGGTCTTACGGTGCGCAAATATTGCATATGTTCAAGGTACTGGCATTAGGTTTTTTGAGGCATTCAGTCATTTTGGTCCTTTACTCAAACGGCCGCGTTAAACACGTCCTTTCATCCCTGTCGATATTTCAACACCATACATTCCGGATGGTGCCAGCGCCTCTAAGGCACTGTGGCCGTGCTTGTTTCTTTCTTTCGGATGGCGATTTTGAGACCCAAAAATGGTGGTTTGAAGGATTTGAAATGAAACCGATGGTAGAAAAGCATGCAAAATCTCTTCAAGGGTTCGCTGAGGAAGTGATTTTCGACAACCTTGCCCTGTTTTGAGTTTGTCCAAAAGGGAAGACATGATGAATCAAATTTCATTGTTGTTTTTTTTCATCATTCTTTGTGCAACATATTGCATTTTTCAAGAATGGTGAAAAAATATCGCGTTCGTGCTTGGGGTCTTCATTTCATGGTTGACAACTTTCAGATTTCACCGAAATCATGGCACCGAAATGGGAGATGGCCGTTGTGAGCGTGGCAGTGACGCCGGATGGCTTCTGAAAGCTCAACAGTTATGGTCCGAAATACCAGCTATAAATCAGTTATAACATCCTTTTTATGGAATGATAAGCCAATGTAAAACCATTTAATCCCTTCCCCCTAATACTAACCCCCCCAAATAATAAACACCTCAGGTAGTTTTTTAGTATTAGAGGGGTATTTATTATTAGGGAACCCTTTATTAATAAGATTAAACCCTTCATAATAAAGACTGTTTTTCCGATTTCAAAATCAAATAACTTTCCTTATATAACGCAATCAAAATATTGCCAAAAATTGGATTTCGAAGCGGACCCTATTAATAAATTTAAACCCTTAATAATAAAAAATCTAGTTGTTCGATTTTGAACTCAATTATATTTCCTTATATAACGCAATTAAAATATTGCCAAAACTTGGATTTCGAAGCGGACCCTATTAATAAATTTAAACCCTTAATAATAAAAACTAGTTTGTTCGATTTCAAAATCAAATAGCTTTCCTTCAATAACGCAATTAAAATATTGCCTAAAATTAGTTTTCGAAGCGGGTAAAATTAGTTTTCGAAGCGGGCCCTAATAAGAAATTAAAAGCCCTAATATAAAAAAACTAAAAAAAAAATCGGACGGACCCTAATAATAAACACCATGGGGTGAAATAGTTTTTATTATTAGGGGGCGAAACCCAAATTGTAGCTTTATTTTTTAATTGTGTTCTAAAGGGGATCAATTAAAAGTCAAATTGGCCAATCTGAAATTTTCCGAAATTGGAGATGGACCCTAGTTTTTAGTATTTGGGGGACGTTTAGTAATAGGGGGAAGGGATTATAAGCATTTATCACTGGTAAAGGGCCATAAGGGCCATAAGTGAAGAGACAGTTGGAGATTACTTCTGCCCCTCTGCAGTGAATAGCTGGCACATGAGTGCGTTTGAAGACAGCTCCCAAGGGGAAACCTTTGGGTATAGAAGTGTTTTGGGTAGTATGTAAGACCATGGTGGTGACATAATCAGTGTTGATAGTAGCTTTGGGTCAAACATTAGGGCGACAAAATACGTGTTGATCATACCCTGGTTGTTGGTTTGGAACATGACTTTTATTTTTCCATCCAGTTGGGAATGTCATCATCCCAACTGACTTTCACTCCATCATTTTTCAGAGGGGTAGGGCTCAACCACCAAGCAGATATATATATATATAAAATCTATACCATATAAAACCATATCATTTACCATACAAATATCCCATCTACCATACAATTTACCATATAAGCGGGGGTTTCCCTCTTTTTTTGCCAAGGAAGCAAACCAGTTCTTGAATAATGAGAAGCAATGCGCTGCACCTGGGACCTTCAGAAACCCCATGGCCTCTGAACGGGTCCTCTGGGTCCAAACCTGGGTACCCGGATGGTACCCGGATGAATAGCTGGTTTTTCTGGATGGTGATTCATAGGTTTGGACCCATCCCCATCTGTCATGGGTACGTCTGAAAATAGGGGAATCCCTAGTTACGTCTGTTATTGCATGTTATTGCCCTATTAGAAACAATGGTGATTGACCATATGAAACTATAAAGTCTTGTCCGGTCTTCCGTATTTTTGAGGTACCAAAGCAATATTTGTGGCTTTGGGAAGGGATCACTCCAGGAATCCACGGTGGAGATAATCCACCCAAAAAGGATTCCTGGGAGGAGCCGAATTTAGATATGTCATCCACTGCATAACCCCGTGTTTGTTGATGTATTTTGTGATTTGTAAATTATAAACCATTACTCATATTGTTCATAATTAGTATAAATAAATATATATAATATATATAGTTACATAAATTATTTATGAGTATAGTATATATCATATACTTAAAACAATATTTTTAGCTGATTCACATCTCCACTACTTGTGGTTATTTGTCGACACCTTTAGTTGGACAAGTGATGTTGATTGTTTCTTCCACTCGAGGAATTACTCATGTCCAACTTTAAATTGACTCTGGTTTTCGATTCGTAGAAGTAACATGTAAGATCGAATCATACTGCCAAAATCGCCTCAAAAATCAATTAAGTTTGCAATCAGACATGACATCTACTGGCTTCACGACATATTTGCCATGCCCGAGTGGCGAAAAATGTTCGACCCGAGGATTGCGACGAGAGGTGCAGTGCATGCTTTGGTTCTGGCATCATGCGATGTAAGAGCTGCACCTCGCCAGAAATCTTTGGCGAGCCACTGACACGACTTGGCCTCGACCAATGGACCTCGTTTTGAAAAGCTATCTGAGTCTGACATGTTGGGTGAAAGATCTGGGAATTCTGACTTCGTATGTTGAAGTTCAATGGCGAGAATAAGGATCTTACTGAGCAAAAACTGCTGCGTTGATGGTGGAGGTTCTAATACTTGGTAGATTGCAAAGTAAATTGGAGCTTCTTACAACTTTAGTTGCACCACATAAGAACCATACCCGAAACCTACATCAGAACATTTGTATCTTGGTAGATTCCTCCATTATTAGCCCATACGAACCATGTTTGGTAGTTTCCTCCAATTTGCAACTACTAGGTACTAGGTAAAAACAAAAAAGACCGTAAATTTCCAAGTGGACGTATTTCCAGTAGTGTATTTCATGTTTACATGTAGAAAAGGCCCATAGGGGAAAAAAACAAATACTTCGAGTGATCCACACCCAGACACACTATTCTGACATAGTTTCTGAAAGTTTCTGACATATCATTTGGAAGTATATTTGGCATATATATGTATACGTGATTATATGTGTATATATGCTGACATGCTATTTGACATTCTTTCTGGTAAGTACTCTAACATTCTGTTTGGCATTCTATTTGGCAATCTATCTTGCATCTATTCTGGCATACTTTCCGGCATAAATTCTGACATTCTTTCTGGCATTCTGTTTGGAATTTAATTTGACATCTTTTCTGACACTCCATTTGGCATACATACATATATTCTGACATATATTCTGACATTCTGTCTGGCATGCTATCTGGCATCCTGTCGGGCATGCTATGTGGCATTCTATCTGGTGTTCTAACCGGCATTCTATCTGACATATATTCTGACATTCTCTATTTGACATATATTCTGGCACTATTTTTTGCATTCTATCTGGCATTCTCTTTGGCATGTCCTGGCGGTTTCTTCGGGAGCGCCGTGCTGAACTGGCCCTGAGGAGAAGCAGCCTTCCGCAGAAACAAGCACCACGGGGCATTGGTGCAAAGTACGCTGAGAGGCGTTTAATTTTGCTACTAGCAAGAATAAACCGGATGCCATTCTTAGGAGATTATCATGGAAGTGGTTTCATGACAGAGGACTCTGTAATGAAATTGTGTTGGTGGGTCGTTTCTGTGCCACTTGCCGGATTAGTCAAGAACCTGGATGCGTAGCTGGTTCTCTTTGCAGGTTCTATACCCTGCCGTCATGCAGGCTTCGTGTGCTCCGAAATGGTATCGAAGCTTGGCCTGGGTTGGAGCTGATGTAGGCAGGGTTGAGGCCACTGGAGTAATTTTATCGAGAAATTGAACTGATGCGGAATACGCAAGCATTGGGGCAGTGGGTATGGGCAGGTTGAAGACCGAGCAATCTGAGCAGGGAGGGAGAGTATCGATGTTTCAAGGTTGTTGAGGCAGCTTTGAAAACAACCCCTTGACCAGGGGCAACATCCCCAGCACTGTGGTGTCCTTGGTTTGCATTGTGAGGAAGGGCGATCCCCTGAGCATGGCTTGCAATACCTGGCTGCCGGAGTTCTTGCAGGGTATGAAATTCAGCGCTTGGTGGGGAAAAAGATTAACAATGTCCCTTGGTGCAAAGAAAGGTTGGTTGTTTGAGTCATTGGTAAGCAATTTCAAGAGGTATACGTGGACTTGAGATTGAAACCCCTCTCGCTGGCTCCACCAGAAGCGGCAAGCTGTATGCCTTTGAGGTAGTCCGGGCTTTGGACAGAAAGTCAGCACTGTTGCTTGCGTGGCAAGGGCTGGATCCACCATCCCAATGGCTCAACATCATCTTGCTGCGGGTGGTTTGTGTCACAAAGGAGCTTGTTTACCGTGGCAATGTCATTGATGAAGATGAGAGGCCCAGAAGATGGGGAGATGAAGGAATTGCACCTCTGTTAAAATCTAGAGACCCTCACGTGGCAGGTGGGAACAAAACACAAAAATGCATTGAACAAATGGCGTTTTGTAGAACATCCCTGAAGAGCATGATCACTCGTGATTCTCAGGAATTGTCCTTTCAACCAATCCATTGAGAGTCTCCTAGGATTGGTTCCAGTTGGTGAAACACCGGGCGAGTCATCTATTTTGTTGGAAAACTCACATAGATCTGTAGTGATTAATCTTTGCTTTTTGTATGTAATGTATAAAATAAACATAAATATGTTTTTGTAATGTCTATACCTATAGGGATTTATTATGATTTGTTGTTTTGGTTAAACAGTTATTGAACCATAGTAAGGCCAATAGGAAACTACCCCCAGGTAACTACCAGAAATAGGTCGTGAAAACCGTCCCCACAAAGGGTGACCCGGTGATTGATGGCACTTTCTCGTTGGCATCTCGAGTGAATTCAAGGATGTACCGCAGCTACAGACCTTTAAGGTAGTGCGGGCTTTGGACAGAACGTCAGCACTGTTGCTTGCGTGGCAAGGGCTGGATCCACCATCCTAATGGTTCAACATCATCTTGCTGCGGGTGGTTTGTGTCACAAAGGAGCCTGTTTACCGTGGCAATGTCATTGATGAAGATGAGAGGCCCAGAAGATGGGGAGATGAAGGAATTGCACCTCTGTTAAAATCTAGAGACCCTCACGTGGCAGGTGGGAACAAAACACAAAAATGCATTGAACAAATGGCGTTTTGTAGAACATCCCTGAAGAGCATGATCACTCGTGATTCTCAGGAATTGTCCTTTCAACCAATCCATTGAGAGTCTCCTAGGATTGGTTCCAGTTGGTGAAACACCGGGCGAGTCATCTATTTTGTTGGAAAACTCACATAGATCTGTAGTGATTAATCTTTGCTTTTTGTATGTAATGTATAAATGAAAAATAAATATGTTTTTGTAATGTCTATACCTATAGGGATTTATTATGATTTGTTGTTTTGGTTAAACAGTTATTGAGCCATAGTAAGGCCAATAGGAAACTACCCCCAGGTAACTACCAGAAATAGGTCGTGAAAACCGTCCCCACAAAGGGTGACCTGGTGATTGATGGCACTTTCTCGTTGGCATCTCGAGTGAATTCAAGGATGTACCGCAGCTACAGACTATGTTTTTGCAATTTCTGAGACAGTAAAACGAATTACATCTACATATTTGTTGGTTTATGTTGGTTTCTTGGTAAACAGACTTGGTATATAATTAAGTTGTTTAACTGGTTCGACTGTTCAAGCCACTGTAAATTTCTGGTGTTCTTTCTGTCCATTTTGCTTTCCCATGACATCCCCAGGCAATCCACCATATTTCTTGGACGGAACGACCTGCAATCCCGACCCTGGACGGGTGCAATGATCTGGTGGGGACTGGGATTGGGATCCTAATTGGCAACCGGTACAATTATGACCCTTTTCTCATTGGCGACGCGATGACTTACCTCCTGTAACTACGGTGAAATACAACTTAAATGAGTTGTTTCCTTTTTTTTCGCCAGTTGTAACTGGCCAAAAAGGGCTACAATTGGGTAAACCTGAGGTAGCTCACATGGACCCAGTTCAACCATCAATTATGGGTTTCATATGGTTTGATTCTGAACATCATCAATTCAAAATACCAGGATTTATTCACCCCACCCAATTATTGGAATATGATGGCCACAAAGTCAGCACAATTTGAGATTGAAAAAATGGAAAACTCAACTTTTGCAGCCGACAAAAAAAAGATAAACCTCCAGACAAAAACTGTGTCTGATATATTGTTCAGGAAATGTTTGGGTTTGGCAAATCCTACAATGTGAGGCCCCCAAACGATAGTTGGTTTGTAAATACAATAACTTTGGCAACTATGATACTTATAACTTATAACTTGAAACTATAGTATATAAGAAACTATAGTTATTGGGATTTATGAACCAACTTACAAGTGGAGGGGGCCCACATTGTAATTTCTGGCTGGTGGTTTTAAATTGTTCCACCAAAAAGAACATAAAGAACCTGGGGTTCAATATCCGAAATCGTCCGTTTTTGCTCGGGATTGAAACCGCCCATGGTTTGTTTCTACAGTTATGCCCTTCACCAGTTTTAAATGGTTTTAAATGGTTGTAAATGGTTATAAATAGGCTTATCATTGCATCAACAGGGTTATTTCGCTGACTTATAAGCGGTAAAGGGCATGATAACTTTAGTGTCTGGTGGACCACAGTACGGATGCCTATGTACCGACCATTTGGAAGATGAGGGACACAGCCACAGCCAATGAACATGACATCCTGGTTATGTGCTTTGTGTCTATTTACAAATACCCTAGTCGGCAGGATTTCAAAACTTGTTGCTCCTGCCATTTCCCGCTCTCATTTTTTTTTGCGATGCAACAGTTTTTGCATGTTCTTGCACCATGCCCCGTTGCTCAGAAATGTGGTCGCTTCAAGTTTGCCAACATGAGCACCCGCAAGTGCAACAAATGCGATTCCAACTGCAAAGCCTGCTCTGGTTCAGCAACGGCTCTTTGACTAAAAATTGGATGGGGCCCTTAGTTGTCGATGATGTTGGTAGCTGGAATGATGGAACATGGCTTTTACAACCCACAATAAACCGCCGCCCCAGACCGGGGCGGAATATGTCCAGTAGCGAATAATGGATACGAACTTGACTAGGTGATATGGTACATATATGTGTATATCATATATATATACCCTCTGGCTATTCAACATAGCCATGGGAAAAGGCCCATTTATATATGGTTTACCTATTAAAAATGGTGATTTTCCATGGCTATGTTAAATAACCAGATGGTATATCATATATATATATACATTTATAAATATAATATGCGACGTGTGTATGCTCTTGTGTGGGGGTAGCTACATGGTCAAGATCAAACTCAAAGTTTTTATTGACTGTTTGAGTCCCCCCCAGTTGTGATCTATAGTTGTATCTATAATTACCTCAAAACTTCGTGGCGGGTTCGATACATGGGGGTACCCCAAAAGCTGGATGGTTTATTTCATGGAAAATCTGATCTATAAAGGGATGATTTAGGGGTACCCCCATTGTTGGAAATCCCTAAGTTAACCTAGATGGAAATCAACTAGTTAACTGGGCACCAGTTTGTGCTTGCCACTGGTAAAATTGAGGATGAACATGTTTTTCGACGCTGCTTTAGTGAGACACTGAAGATACGATGCGTACAAACGGGGGCCCCCCAGTTGTCTTCTCTACTCTACTCACTCTGCTCTACTTGATGCTTGATGCAGTCACTTAAGACTGCTGAGCCACTTTTCTCTACTTCAGGACCAGCCAGCCGGACTTAAGTCTTTTGAGCTACTTCCCTATTTCAGGACCAACAGGATTTAAGATGTCTGAGCTACTTCTCTGCAGGAGCAGAAACAAATAACTTCAGACTTCTTGGCAATTGCTAAGTCACTTCATTTGTAAGTCGGATGTTCTCTAAGAAACTTTCTTTGATAAATAGTTGTACTTCTACTCTGAGTTGTCTTCAGATTATTTCGCCGTTGTTTCCCCAACCCCAACCCCACTCCAGGCTCGTGTGTACAGATGAGTCAAATTTGTGTGCGTATATGAGGTCCTGACCTTTAGCCACCATAAATCAGCTCTACAGTTATGGTGCGAAATACCAGTTACAAGTCAGTAAGTCACCACATCTATGGAACAATAAGCCCATTTAGCATGTATAAGTGCTAAAGGGCTATAAACCGCAAATCCCATAGAAAATCCGCGTTTTCTTAGTTGTTTGTTACCATTTTTCCGGTGGTTTTCGCAAACAGGGCCCCACAATACGTAACGGCGTAACGACCATACCGCAGCTGCAAAAGGTGACGGTTTTGGTACATCTACCGTTTGACCCTTCAAGTACAGCGCAAAAAAGTCGCAGAAATATATTTTTTTAATGAAGTAAAACACAATTTTCCAATATGTTCAAGGATACAAACGGAGGGTCATTATATATCCATATCATCAGTATCCTACAAGAGTGACATATCTAGATTATGGATCTGTGCTATCTATGCCTAGACCCTCCGTTTGTACCTTTTTTTATGGTGTTTTACTGATAATGTTAGTACTTTTACCATTCTTTGGTAATTGGAGAGTCAAATGCTGGTGCTTTGTTTTGAATAATCTGAATCGCAAGCCATGTTCAAAGATGTTTTGTTGTTGGTAAAATCATACAGAGTGGGGCCCCTGAGATTCCTAGATAGCTAGGTTGATGAACATAACTACTCCAATAACCATGGTTTCTGATACGTATAGCATCTTATAGCTAGTTGACGGGGTTGAAGCAGCGTAAAACTGAAAAAAACACGCTTATTTTTTGGGGGCCCCACATTGTACTGATACCCTCTGGTTATTTAACATAGCCATGGGAAATGGCCAATTTATAGATCGTTTACCTATTAAACATTGTGATTTTCCATGGCTATGTTAAATAACCAAATGGTACACATAGTAAGTACTATTTTCTCTGTCGTTTGGGGGTTGGTATGTTTATATCTATATATACATATAGCATCTAACTTAAATGCATAGATCATTACATCGAACAGTACTACAATAAATGTTGGGCGGCCCGTTCCTTGCCAAGTTGCATGGCAAATTACATAAATCTGCTTGTTGGTCAAATATCCCCATGCTGGCTGTAGGCTATATCTCAACTTGTGTTGATTAACCCAACGTGTTGGTAACATTTCCTGATTGAGTCTCCATGCTTGCTGGTTAAATCATCACCATTGGCTGATGCTTGTGGCGTGGTTGCATACCGCATGAACCATCCTCAACTATCATAAGTTGGCTTATAGCCCAGTCATATCAGTCTAGGTATAGTATATTATAGTATGGTATAGCGACAAACAACATCGATCCAGCAGTGACGGCCAACCGCTGAGCAAGGACACTGGTTTCTATCGCAACCCCAAAAAGATCAGCAAAGTCCAATCCTATTGCAATGTGGGGCCCCCACTTGTAGGTTGGTTTATAAACCCCAGTAACTATATAGTTATGAGCTTGTAAACCAACTTAGCTATCGTAAATTATCTAGGGGGCCGCACATTGTAACGTAGTGGTAACGTGAACCTTTTCGATCAAGAACAGGGCAGCTATTATAGTCACATCTAAAGGTTCAACGAATTGCCGGAATCGCAGGGATGGGCTGAAACACTCGGGCCCCTGAATTGACTCAGGCATGTACAGCTTGTTATGACGACATGTACCTGGATGGCTCTATATGCACCGCAGATGAAGGAGTTGGGTCTGACAATTTTGAGGAGAAACCAACCTTCAGAAAATCATGGGAACATCGGGCGATATGGAGAAATCCAAGAACCAAATGGAGGTTTGGAAAAAAAACATCGACTCGATAGGGGTTTCCCGGCTAGCCATGGTTGATTTCCGTTGGGTAAAACTGGATGCAGTTTTTGGGTGCCATTTTTGTTGGACATCTGCTGGCGTGTGCTTCAGATGAACATTCACAACCAGCTGCGAAAATCAGGTGTTTAGAAGGTGTTCATCAAGTCTCAAGTCACTCAATGTCACTCAATGTCACTATATTTGTCCACAACTCCTGGTTTTCAAGTGACATCAATGACATCAACTTCCACCATTTTTTGCTCATCAACCAACCCGTTTTTGCTGAAAACCACCCAAAAAGTGCCGGTGAACTCGCCATTTCCGGCACAGCGTTCCGGCACTGCGTTCCGGCACTCCGGTGGAACTCCGAGGCACAGGAGAGTGCCCTGCGGGGAAGTATCCGGACACAGAAAGCAGCAGGCTGGGATCCAGGGGGCCATGGCCCCACAGTGATATGTTTGCTTCATCGGATTTCATTTAGGATTTCATGAGATTTTCCCCATGGTTATCCCTATGGTCTTATACCCATTGTTGTGATCTATCACCAAATATGTATACATAGTGGTGCCCCAGTTCGGAATCGCATTCAGTTGGTGAACATAACTACAATAAGTAGGACTTGTGGTAGATAAATGGTAGATATATCGAACTAGTTGATGGGGGTTATAAACTAACGTTCACATCACTGGGGGGTACCACATTGTGGGATTTCATTTGGGATTTAATGAGATTTTTTACATCAAAGAAACATATTGGGATTGAGAAATGGATGTACTTGGTTTATAAACCTTATAGTAACTTATAGTTACAAGATGTTTTACGATCATAAACCATAGCTATTATAGTTATAAACAAACTTAGCCATCTGCCCACATTGTACAGGATTCACCTTAGATGTTGGTCTTGATTGATCCGGATTTTGCCTGTTATTTACTCATTCATTACCACCTGTACTGTCATCACTTGCTGTAATGTCCTTCGATTTCCGGCAAATCT